TGAGCAGTTTCAAGCTGGCTGGCACAAGTTGCAAGTGGATGTTTCAGTTGTGTTCAATGCAGAAACATGCTGAAATGTCTATAACATTGTTTTATTTTTTGCAAAAGAATTGTGCAAGCTTTGAAATGTTTTTTTTTTTTTATAAAAAATAAAAAAATTAAAAATAATTAAGACAATAAATGTGACTTTTGTGATCTGAATGATTCAAGTGATGGTTAATGTCATTAAAAATGACATTTGATTTTAAATAAAACATTTATTTTCCTTTCAGTTCTGTGAAATATATTTAAATCATTTTAGTAAAAGAACATAATTATAGAAATGTCAGTATTTTTGCAAAAAGCTGCAATTTGTTTACTAAAACGGATCGATCTATCTATCTATCTATCTATCTATCTATCTATCTATCTATCTATCTATCTTATCTATCCATCTATCCATCCATCCATCCATCCATCCATCATGTCCATACTACAAATCTTGTGGGATGAAATACAGCCTGAAGTTTAATACTAAAGGATAGGGGAAATCAGGCCATTTAACATAAAACTGCACTTCACATAGGTAACAGCTTTGCCTATATAATCTATATTTCCTCCATAGTCGCATTTGTCCAGGCACATTAATGGTTTAGCTCGTTCTACAGAGTAATGTGAGGTTAGTTCTGATTTAATTAGTGCTGGACCACCAAGTTTAACATCTGTCTGTTTCTGATCTAACCTGAGGTTGTGGAGTTTGGTTTTAATTGTAATTCCTTGCTACAGATTTTACAGTGAGGTCCTGCATCCCACAACAAACCTGGACAAGAAAAATATAGACAAGCAGCCACTCACATCCCATCCCATCTCTCATTGCACTGGATCTGGGGGTTTCATGGATGAGCTCAAAAGGAGCAGCCAGACATATACTGTGCCATCATACACTGGTGTCGTTCCTTCATCAGCTAATGGATGGCCGGGTGGAGGTGCTGACTGTGAGTAATGATGATAAATCTGTCATCTGTCTATCTATCTATCTATCTATCTATCTATCTATCTATCTATCTATCTATCTATCTTATCTATCCATCTATCCATCCATCCATCCATCCATCCATCATGTCCATACTACAAATCTTGTGGGATGAAATACAGCCTGAAGTTTAATACTAAAGGATAGGGGAAATCAGGCCATTTAACATAAAACTGCACTTCACATAGACAGCTTTGCCTATATAATCTATATTTCCTCCATAGTCGTATTTGTCCAGGCACATTAATGGTTTGGCTCGTTCTACAGAGTAATGTGAGGTTAGTTCTGATTTAATTAGTGCTGGACCACCAAGTTTAACATCTGTCTGTTTCTGATCTAACCTGAGGTTGTGGAGTTTGGTTTTAATTGTAATTCCTTGCTACAGATTTTACAGTGAGGTCCTGCATCCCACAACAAACCTGGACAAGAAAAATATAAACAAGCAGCCACTCACATCCCATCCCATCTCTCATTGCACTGGATCTGGGGGTTTCATGGATGAGCTCAAAAGGAGCAGCCAGACTATCTATCTATCTATCTATCTATCTATCTATCTATCTATCTATCTTATCTATCCATCTATCCATCCATCCATCCATCCATCCATCATGTCCATACTACAAATCTTGTGGGATGAAATACAGCCTGAAGTTTAATACTAAAGGATAGGGGAAATCAGGCCATTTAACATAAAACTGCACTTCACATAGGTAACAGCTTTGCCTATATAATCTATATTTCCTCCATAGTCGCATTTGTCCAGGCACATTAATGGTTTAGCTCGTTCTACAGAGTAATGTGAGGTTAGTTCTGATTTAATTAGTGCTGGACCACCAAGTTTAACATCTGTCTGTTTCTGATCTAACCTGAGGTTGTGGAGTTTGGTTTTAATTGTAATTCCTTGCTACAGATTTTACAGTGAGGTCCTGCATCCCACAACAAACCTGGACAAGAAAAATATAGACAAGCAGCCACTCACATCCCATCCCATCTCTCATTGCACTGGATCTGGGGGTTTCATGGATGAGCTCAAAAGGAGCAGCCAGACATACACTGTGCCATCATACACTGGTGTCGTTCCTTCATCAGCTAATGGATGGCCGGGTGGAGGTGCTGACTGTGAGTAATGATGATAATGCAGCTGAACTGAACTGGTTGGTGTGGCAATGTAACAGGTTAATTGAGTCTCATTTTATGACTCTCTACGGAGTAAAAATTTAATATATTAAATGGATGCCAGTTTCCCTAGAGGTCTGAAAAGGTGGCATATCACTGACAGAAGGGAGGGGCTAATATTCAGTTTCAATAAAGAGGCGGGGCCAAGAATACTAGTACATGTACATGTGACAACTGACAATACATTTGATAATCATTTTGAACAGTACATTTATTCAACATCTTTTTAATAATATATACTTATTTTTTAAATAAAAAATACATTTAAATAAAAATAATGAATTTTATTTAAGTGTGTCAGTGCTATCTTAAAAATGAAACAAAAATTTGGTTTAATTTGAGAAACTCATTATTCTATTTTATTTTATTTATTATTTTAAATTATTAATTCATTCATTCATTTATTCAATTTTTTTGTGGTTAAACTACAAACGCTTTTTGGGGCCATCTTCTTAATTAAAAGTAACTTCCAAAAGGTCTTCCAGTTAAACGCTGTTGCGCTCATATGGAGAGAAGAATAACATTTTAGTTCTCAGAGGCCATTTATCTGCGAGCCTATCTGATGAATAAAACAAAGAAAGCTCTGATGTACATCAATAATGATGAACACTGACTGAAAATCTAACACACATGCACACACTATCCGCTCTCACTCTCAATCTGTTATCTGCTTCCTACCACAGATCTGAGCCATCCATCCTTCCATGTGCAAAAATTCATTTAATTGATTTCCTATAAAGAAACCATCAAACCATGTATTTCAAGACACCAAGCCCATTGAGAATTAAGATGGGTGGGAGACTTAAAAAAAAAAAAAATGGCACAGAGACCTTATTTAAAGTATTCAAATTACATGTTTTGCATTGCAGTGGTGGTGTTTAACATTTTGTTACTAGCAAAACTGTCTTCTTATTTACTTTAGTTGCTCACCACACATGTCCAAATGCCTGCCCCAGGATGGCATCTTTGTAATTGCACTCATACTTACTGTCTATTAATAATAAAGTCTTCCTGAGACAGTAGTGACCCACAACAATGACATATCAGGGAGAGATATCAACTCCACGCACTGTCTGCAGCATGTGTGTGTTTTGCATTCATCTGTGTGTGAGAGAGGTTTGTCCATGTGCAGATCTTTCCTCGCCTCCAGCTCCAGTCGGATAATGAAAGACTCCGTTGTTTTGTTTCTGAGTCTCTCTTATCTGCTTCTGAAGGACAGTGTGAGTGTTTGAGCTGCAACACAAAAGTATTTGCTGTTGACTGAATAGCCAAGGTCAGCTGAGAGCTGAAAAACCTTCAGATACCTCTTAAAAATATACACACATTCTCTCCCACTGGAGACTTGAAGTACTGAGAGAAACACTACTAATTTATTTTATTTATTTTTATTTTTTTCCCCCTTTAAGCACAGTCATTGTTATTGCATGGATATCCTGCTATTTTTCAGACTTCTCTCCTGGGACAAGTCCAAATACAATCTTCCACTGCCATGCTTAAAAACACAATTCAAAGAGCATGGCCTCCTTAAGTTTCTTAATTTAGTGCTGATATTCATAATTTGCTCCAGAGACAAAGAGAACGTGAGAAAGAAGAGAGTCACTTTCATATTCCCATGAAGGCAAAGAAACGTCCTGGAAATTGCAATTGTTTACTTATTTTGACGATTCTCCCATTTAAGGGCATCCATGAAGAATTGCTGTTATCCTGACATCAAGATCAGCTCCGAACTAAAGCTCCTCATTTCCTTGTGTTTGACTTGGATTGTGCACATTAAAACACTGAGGATGTTTTCACTCCGAATGAGGAATTCTCTTTAAGATAAATACAGCATCTTCTGCACTAAATATACTATATATATATATATATATATATATATATACTGTATGTTTTTTGTTGTTTGTTTTTCACTGAGGAATTATGATGCCGCAAACATTTGCATGGCCCGATTTCCGATCTGGCAGGCCAGACACCTGAATCAGCTGTATAGAATGCCAAAAAAAAGCATTACTCTGCTGAGGGTTTGAGTTTATGCCTAGTTATAATGCTCTTCACTATTATTTGATGACTTACTGCTGTCATGGTCAATAAAAATGTACACAAACATCTCTTTTTAATAACATTTTCTTTACCGCTTGCTATCAGCAAAATTAATTGCAGCAGGAAAATAGTGCTGATATTTGTAATTGTATTATAGGCTTAATCAAGAAGCCATGTTTTTACTCAAATGAATGACAATGCCTTAATTTGACCTGTTAATTGCTCAAATCTTGTCTTTTTTCTTGACACAAAGCAGTTGTATGGCTTCAGGAATATAGCCCACAAGTCAAATAGTCTGTTTTTAATGATGTTGTGTCTTTTTGTTTGTTTGACTGCATTTCAATCATACGAGTTTCATAAAACATGAGGGTGAGTAAATTATTTATTTATTTATTTGACTTTTTTTTTTTTTAAACTGAAGTCTGAGCACTTTTATAAATGGTCTCCATTTGATTTACTTCAAGCAAATAAATATCAAGCCTGTCAAACATAAAAAAAAAAAACACTGCAGTGTTATTTTAGTAGTATTTATAGGCTATAGCAGTACAGTAATTATTAATATTTTAAATTAGCTTTTATTTTTCAGACCTGCAAATAGGTGAAACATTTCTTAAATTAGCATTTGAAATCATTTAGAAAAATTCTGATATTAGAATAGAAATGCAATGTCTCTCTCTGACAGCAGGAGGCGCTTTCAACTGTAGGCCTACACAAAACTACGCAGCGCTGCACTTATCTACATTATTTTTATTGTTAGAGCGGGCGCGGCCATTTTGAAAACGCGAGGCTTCCGCATATCCTCTTCCAGCTGATTTTAGCTGTACAAAACAGTTTTTTATGCTGCTTGATGCTGGTATTTACTGGTATTGTTTTAATGTTTCTTGTATTTATAAAAAACACTGGTTTGTAGCGCATATAGTTTTACCTTTTACTGCAACTTGTTATTCTTATTTTTATTTACAGAGCCGCTAATGAATCGGAAGTCTGGCACATTCACAGAATAGCTTACTTCCGCATTGCAAGATGAGGTAGATAAACACTGCTTATTATGCATCTTAGGAAGGTAAGTTTAAGTTTTTAATCTAATATTTCTATTTTATTTTATTTCAGCCTTATTTAGATTAATTACAAATAATTTAATAGTTTTAGTTACCAATAACAACATCAGTATTGAAATGAATATGGGTGCAACTTCAGTCTTAGTTGAGGATGAACCATAAACAAGAATCACAAATGTGATTTATCAATCGTGTCCTTGACCGCAGCAGTTAACCTCAGGAAGCCCTAGAGGGATTGTTGCTTTTGGCCATTAAATTATAACATATGACACTTTGGTGTCTGTATGTCGAGGCACAGTTGGAGGACTATAGCTAACTAACCCCTGCTACCCCAACCCAAATACCACAGGATGAGATGCTAGATAATGAGAGGGAGTTCCCTCTGTTCCATCTAATCTGGGGCTCAGTTTTAATCCCTAAACCCTCTGAGGCCTTACCAAATGCACAAACACATATGTGGCCTGAATGTATGTGTCAGCAGAACATTAGGTCTGGTAGACCACTGTAGTCCAACGAAAAACCAGTTATCATGTTCCTTAATCTGGTTGGACCTGGTTTTTCCAGCACTGTGGGCAACGCATTAGCTGGAAACAGTGTTATTTTAGTATACTAATACAAAGTTATAGACTAACATAGTTGTTAGTGTTATTTTATAATGGTGTTTTATTTTTTTAATTTATTCTGTTTTCATTTTAATTTTAGTTGAATTGCTTGTAATTTTGTTTTGTGTTGTAGTTTTTTATTAAATATTGTTTTAATTAGGCTAAGTTTTAGTTTTGAATTGTTTAGTTTTATTTACTTTAGTACTTAAACTAAACAAAAATGAAAAATGTTGCCTTGGCTTTTTATATTTAATTTTACTTCAGTTAATGCCTATTTTATTTCGAGAAATGCAAATGGTTTTATTTTTTGAATGATAATAACACTGCCTAAAAACATCTGTAATGTTACCATGTGTGAATTATTAACAGCAATTGTTAAAACATTCTCACATTATCTTGTTTCTGAGAAACTAGTGTCTTCTCTCTCCTCCTCAAACTATCCGTAGCTCCAGCCAAAACCATAAAGTGCTTTCAGTCACGTCTCTCATCCGCTGCCTGATTCTCTCCATTGGAAGTTTGATTAATTGCAGATTACAGATTTTACAGTTTCGTTCTCCATAACATCACTCCACAGTTATTAAAACGAACTCATCTTGTGTTCCGCAGAGTTAATCTAAATGATTTACAGACGCGACTGCTGCCAAAAACACTGGACTACCACACAGAACCGCCCATCAGAGAGAGAAAACCACTCAAAAACAACAAAACACACTAACTGACCAATTATCCACTGACAAGAACACTAACCATTGCAACACACACCCTTTGAATTCAGTCCTGTAGATCCTCACAGCAATATACAGGTGCATCTCAATAAATTAGAATGTCGTGTTCATTTATTTCAGTAATTCAACTCAAATTGTGAAACTCGTGTATTAAATAAATTCAATGCACACAGACTGAAGTAGTTTAAGTCTTTGGTTCTTTTAATTGTGATGATTTTGGCTCACATTTAACAAAAACCCACCAAATCTCAACAAATTAGAATATGGTGACATGCCAATCAGCTAATCAACTCAAAACACCTGCAAAGGTTTCCTGAGCCTTCAAAATGGTCTCTCAGTTTGGTTCACTAGGCTACACAATCATGGGGAAGACTGCTGATCTG